ATTGTTACAGAAGACACAGGAGAGCCAGGGAAGACAATTGTTACAGAAGACACAGGAGAGCCAGGGAAGACAATTGTTACAGAAGACACAGGAGAGCCAGGGAAGACAATTGTTGCAGAAGACACAGGAGAGCCAGGGAAGACAATTGTTACAGAAGACACAGGAGAGCCAGGGAAGACCAATGGAGGTTAGAAATTGGTATCAAAAGAGGGTTCCTTGGGAAAAAATGTCTTCCTAGTAAAGTCATTGAAGATTTTATGAAAATTTTCATCTCTTCCAACAATATGTCGCAGTTGAATCTACAGGACTTCATTCAATCTGTTATTATATTCATACTCTCTGGAATTAAACAATGTACTAGCAAAACAGCTTTGACCTTTGTGCTGGTTTCAGTAATGTTTGAGTATGACACTAAGGATTTGTGTGCTGGAATTTAACCTATATTGGGAGTTATCTTTAGGGAGAAAACTTACTGCAGCTATGGTATTTAGAGGGGGGCTCCCGGAAGTGATTAAGAATTGAGATGGGTTCAATAGAATGGAGTGCAATGGCTTTATAAACAGAGAGACACTACACAAATGCTCGCTGTGTCTTGCTATGATGCCCTATGCCACCTTGGAACTGTGCCAGTAAATCTCATCAGATGATGAGATTTCAGATCTCAAAAAAAAAAACAAATTCTTTACAAATGTATCCAGTCTCAAGTGTTTTGATATATATAGGCAAATTGAATGGGACGTTAGAGGTATAGTTCCTCTGCTTCGTCAGAATCAAAGCATCCCCCTTTCAAAGATATTTTTTTTTTTATTATATTAATATTTTTTTTTATTTTCCATTTTAAATTTAGATAAGAAACAAGGTTGCTTCACAAGTCAGTACGAGGTCCCTCTCCCTTTCCCTCCCCTCCTCCTGTGCCCTCCCCCCATCCCCCCCGTTATCCCCTCATTCCCCCAGGGAGGGTGAGGCCCTCCATGGGGGTGTCCTCAAAGATATTTTAACACTCAGGAAGTTCATGAAAATGACAAGATTCAAGAAAACCTCGCAAATTTCCAAGCTTCACAGGGTCCCCCTCCAAGAATAGAAAAAGGAGCAAACAATTGTTGGAGAGGAAATTGGTGGTTTCTGTGAATCACCATCCATGTTGGGGTGGGCTTTTGAGTCACCTGCTCCTGTAAATATCCCAGTTACCACATCAGTTCACTAAGCTAGACTTGCAGGGATCATCTCAGTGACTTTGTCCATACTTTATCAGATGGATAGGTATTTGTCACATTCCCCCCAAGAAAAGTCACCTAACAAAGGTAGATAGTAACTTTTTAAATGAACTGCCTGTAGTTACAGGGCACCTGGTAACAACGCCAAGGCAGGTTCCTATGGAGAATTCCAATGCCAAGGCAGGTTCCTAGAATTCAGATGGAGAGTGGAGAAGAGATACTTTAGTTTATCCTTTCTTTCTTCTTGAAAGTGGGCAATTGATGTTTTTCTTTAAAATTATGCAAATACAATTTCAAGTCCCTCCTACTTCTAACAGTGTGGGCATTCCAATGTACTACTGTCTATGTCAAACTTCAGTGTTTAACATGTTGTAGGATTCTAAGGCTGGCTTTTAAATCATGTTAATTGAGAGGAAAATGTGAGTTGGCTTAGTTTAAATAGAGTATATAGAAATAGTTCCTTTGAAGCTAAACATTCAACTACATATGAGAATTCTGCAGAGAAAACTTCAATGGAAGAAAACAGCAGAAACTAGTTTACATTGGGACATGAGTTCATTTTTTTTTAGTTATCGTGTAGTTAGCAGCTATTTTAAAGTGCCTAATTGTGATGTCTGAGTTATTGGTTTTGAAAGGTTCAAAATGCTGCCTTCCATAAGGCAGGCTTTCTGCATGACAAACAGAACTAATCAACCTGTCAGCTTTCCTTGCTCATCATTAGAAAGTGATTACCAAGCTGCCTTTTTAGAGCCCTTGCCCATTAAGAATGCTGTCTATGGGCTTGTGACATAGCAGACACTAAAGGCTCACATCCAAATATCAAAAGTGACACAGCTTTCTGTGAATTGGGGCCTCAGGAGGTGCTAGGTCGGGGACTGAGATTGAGAGCTGAAATCAAGGCCTAAAAGGAATCATGCCCAGTGATGGGATTTGGGACAACAGCCAGGGCTCTTCTGGCAAGACAGTTCCTTAAGTGACATTTTAAAAGGCCCTAAGCCCAATTAGCCCTAGAAACACTGTTTTTATGTGTGGATTTTTGTCTCTAACCTTACTGAGTAGAAGCTGTGATCCCAACTAAGATGGCCTTGTTGCTCACCTAGGACAAGAGCATGAGTGAATTTAACACTTGAAACTCTTCTCAGTTGTTGCTTTTTTCACAAATGTAAGCATTTCTATTTCACAAAACCATGAGGCTTCAGATTCCCTTCCACCAGGGGTTTCTATTGTTGGAGCTGGTAATTATTTAGAGTGACCTGGCCAGTCCTATGTTACAACCTAGACTTAGAGTCTTCATCTCTAAAAGAGTGTTGCTTGAGAATTATAGATGGTAAACGATGCAAACAGTGCTGTATTCTGCTTGAAAACCCCATGTCTAAACCAGAAAATCCCACCAGCAGCTTCTTTTAAACATATATCTAGAACAATTGTTCTCAGCTTTCCTAATGACTCTCCAACCATAAAATTATTTTCATCACCTCATAACTAATTTTGCTACTGGTATGAATTGTAATGTAAGTATCTCTGTGTCCCAACGGCCTAGGATGACCCCTGGGAAAGGGTTATTTGACCCACCCTCAAAAGGGGCTGCAACCCACAGGTTGAAAACCACTGATCTAGACCACCACTTCTTCCCTCCACCTCAGGCAAAGCCACCATTGTCTCTTCTTCACAGTTCCTCTCTAAAGCCTCCACTTGCCCTAAGCTTCAACGATTCTGCCAGTACAGATGCCACCATGAGCCTCTTAAATGCAATTGGCTTAGGAGAAACTACTCAGTACCCTACTATGTCTTCCTCTGTTACCCTAATCTAAAGCTCTTTGTATGTTCTAGGGTTCTTCATAGTTCAGTCCCAAGCCATTGCTGCAATGTCTTCTTTTTCTAGAGCTTCTTCCTCAAGATGAACGTGTTTCTGCCTTAGCCTCTTTGCAATTAATAATCTCTCTTCCTAGGAAAATCTTCTTTCAGAGTTGCTCCTTGGCTCCTTTCTTCCTGTGTAATCTTGTCTCGTACATTCCAAGTGTTCCGGGTATTCAGATTTGACACATATGCTCATTTAATAATACTCCAGTGTAGTCGCCAAAGGAGTAACTTGCCAGAGTATTATGGGTAAGCCACTGCCTCATGAAACACATAGTTTAATAGATATTGGTTAATAATTAAGGGAGAGCTATACAATAAGAAGCCTGAGCTCTTCACATCATCTCAAACTTAGTCTTCTCAGAGAGATTATTTTTACACACACAATTATAACACACAACTCCTAAATATGGGCTTGTTAGATTCAGTAAAAATACAAGCTACTCAGTAAAAGACTTGGCTAAACAAGTACAATCGTTTGGTCTTTGTTCCCTGTAATATTTGGGATGTATGTATATATTAGAACCTGTGATTTGTCTGAAACTCAAATTCAGTGGGATGCTCAGTATTAGAGCAATCAAGGTATAGCACTCTCATTACCTCGCCGAGGCATTTCATTTTTTGATTTTGCTCTTACTCCCTGACCCCTCCTACTCAAGCGCTCTCTATGTGTTCACAACTGTTTCTCCAGTGCTGGCACATAGCAGATGCTCAACAAATGTCTGTTAAAGGGTAAGAAAAATACAATCTGAGACGGGCTGACCACATCTCCGGGGTAAATTGCTGCGCAGAAAGGAGAGAGAATGCCCACTCTAAGTGACCAAACAAGACTGTATGGAAGGTTCCAAGGGAGGTGGGGTGGAGGAGGGAAGGGTGAAGCGTTACCCGTCTTTCAGAGACTTCTTGTGGGGTCGGGAGATCCTGGGTGCATAGACTGGGGGAAAGGGAAAAGTAAGACGACCAAAAAAGGTGTTTTTTTTTTTAACCAGTCTTCTAGCAAACTGCAAGAAGTAACAAAAGAGAAAATCTATTTGAAAAGAACAAGTCTGAACTCCGAATAGGGTCGCACGCAGTGGGCATTCTCCTATCTCTGTCCGGTGGGAACACCCTGCAACTTACTTTAAGGCTTAGCTTTATTGTCAGGTTCTGGGAACTGTTAGATCCTAATTATAAGGAAAGTCACCGCACACGCTAACAAAGAGCTGGAGGGGTGCATGGTGATGAAGTCTAGACAGGAGACATCATCATACTCTTCTTGAGCCCAGGATGCCCACCCCGGTGGAGGCAGCCTTTGGAGAGGTTTACCGCACGCGCAGCTCCCTGCGGGACCCACCAGGGGCACATAGACTCCACTCGGATGCACTTCGTCTGATCTGCTTTAGCAAGGTTCGTCCTAAAGCAAGCTGTGTGTGCGACTGCAGACCCATACTCAAGTCAAGCCGGCTCCAGGCCCAACGCAGCTCCACCCGGCTCATGCCTGCCCTCCCACCTAGGAGCAGAGGATGGTCCTGGGCAGCTTAGCCTGGGTGCTGGTCCGCGACGTCTACGGCAGGACGCGCCCTGTGGTGTGAGCCGCGTGCGCGCCCAGCTTGGAGGCGGCTGCCCCTGCCACTGACAGGTGCCGGCCTGAGGGCGCGGGTGTGGTCCCCTGTGCAGCTGGCAGCGTCCGCTGGATGCTTGCAGCTTCCCGAACCCGTAGCGGGTGCGGAGGGGGAGCCCGGGCGCGGCCTGGGGGCGCTCTGTGGACTGGAGCAGCGGAGTTCCGTGCGCGAAACTTTGCAGGAGCCCCGGGCGCTCGGTGACAGCGCCAGGCCAGCTGGGCAGGTGCAGCCGGCCGAGGCGGCGACACCCGGCGGCAGGAGGGCCTCGGCCACAGCCGCTTTGCTCCGAGCTGGCCTGAAGCCGCTGGGCACTCGTGGCTTGTGCTGCTGCGCCGGCCGCCACCGTCGCCGCCACCGCCGCCTCCTCGCTCCCGGAGGAGCCGCGGCCCGAGAGGTCGGAGGAGAGGCAGGAGGAGGCGACAGGAGGTGCCTCGGGTGGAGGATGGAGCCCCGGGCAGCCGCGGCTGGCGAGCCCGAGCCCGCCGCGTCCCCCTCCTTCCAGGCCCGGCTCTGGAGGAACCTGCAGCTGGGGGTGGGCAAGGGCAAGGGCGGCGGGGGCGGGCGCACCGGGGGCCACGAGCGCCGCACTGCGGCCACCCCGACCCCATCCCCGCCGCCCACGAGGGCCACGAAGGACGCCGTGGCCGGTGTGGGCAGTACCGGCAGCAGGTGGAGCGGCTTCAAGAAGCGGAAGCAAGTGCTCGACCGGGTGTTCTCGTCCTCGCAGCCCAACCTGTGCTGCTCCTCGCCGGAGCCCCTGGAGCCGGGCGGGGCTGCTGGCAGAGCCGAGCAGGGGTCCACGCTGCGCCGCCGCATACGCGAACATCTGCTGCCGGTGGCTAAGGGGCCCGCGACGGCCGCGGGGACAGCCGGAGCGACGCCTCCTGGCGGACGCTCTCCGGACTCAGCTCCTTCGTCTTCCGCCTCGTCCTCGCTGTCCTCATCTCCCCAACCGCCCCCGAGGGGAGACCGCGTCCGAGATGAAGGCGCACGGCGCGGGGGCTCTGGAGTGCACCTGTGCCACCAAAAGAGCTCCTCTCTTCCTGGCACCGCGTGCCTGGAGCAGCTGCTGGAACCGGCGCCACCGCCCGTAGAACCCGCACGGGGTCCCGCCGAGCCCCAAGATCTGCTGAAGGGTGAAGAGCGCGGCTGCGGCCAGGTGAGTGCCAGGTGACAGAGCTTGCGGGCCACCCCTCCAGCTTCTGGCTGCCGTTCCCCGAAGAGGGTTCCGGTGTGGGCGAGCGAGCCTGAGTAGCTGAAACCGAGCAAAGGAAGCATTTCGTTCCAGTTTAGTGGTGACAGTAGTGACAGGTGTCACTCTTATCAAAGTCAGCAGTGTGAGTAGCAGTAGCTTAGTGAACAGCTAAAGAAAAGCCACAGATAGCGTGGGTGTTTTTTTGGAGGTGCCCTGCAACATGCCCAACTAAGCATTTTCTTGGCAAAAGAAAAAAAACCAACATAGCCCAAAACTTAGGAAAGAAATCGCAACCGCGGGTGGCCTTGTAGATGGGGCTGCCTGAAGCAAACGGCTACCTTGGACATGGGAGTGTAGAATAGAAAGCTGGAGTTGTGGCTTCATCCATCACAGAAATTGGTGACTTCTCGAAACTTCCTACTGCAGGTGGATCACTGTCCCACGAACTGCAGGATCCCAGTTAGTCAAGTAGTTCCTATGGTCCAGAGTTTAGGTCATCAGACACACGTGCTTCTAAAACAGGCTACTTTACAATCCCTGTAGACTATTCAGACCAGAGGTTTTCGTGTGTTTTAATGGAAATTTTAAGCCATGAAGTGACTTCGTTTACTCCTATCGTTTTTAAGAGGGATTTTTCCTTTTATAAAAGTCTATCAAATCATGTTCACAGTAGAAAATATTTCAAATATTCAACCCTATAAGGGACCTAAAACTGTTTTTTTCTCAGTATGTCTTAGCTTATTAACTCCCGTTACAATAATTCTGATCATGTTAAGTGACAGATATTACACTGAAACTTTAAGTACACCAATGGCTAGCTAGGAAAAAATTCAGCCATTTGCTGAAATTTACTCTTCGGCTGTGTGAGGCAAGAAGAGCTCAGAAAAAAACTGTATAGCTTATTTACTATTTTCTTTTTTCTGTCTAGCAAGCATTTGATGTTCCAGAGAAAGCTTATTATATCAGATTATGTGGACACTATTGGCAGAGAAAGACCAAATAACTTATCTTTTATTGTCTTGAAACAGACCCAAATAGAACTCTTTCTTTTTTATTTCAAAAGCAAAGTGAAAGTCTTCTTGTCTTGTACCTAGGCTGCTAGCAGAAGGTGTGGCCAGAGTAAAGGTGGCTCCTCCCACCTCCAAAGAGCTTGGTTACAGATGTGCCTTCCCACTGGAAAGCTCTGCATAGACGTTCTTCCCTCTTCAAAGGGCTTAATTAAGAAAAGACCTCTCAAGGGTGTGCCCATTCATTCGGGTTGCGCCTAATTCCAGGTGTAGTCAAGTTGACAACTAAGAATAGTGTGAGATATCTCAAATACTACGAGATAAAGGAAATGCTTTTGAGTTTCTATATAGCCCCAATGCACATTTATTTTAACCTTAAGAGATTGTTTTGATATTTTATTTTTCCTAACTTTTAGGAAACATCATAATAATAATGTTACCTATTATGTTATGGGGAAAGTTAATTTATAAAGTTATTTTGCAGTCTATTGAATTGCAAATATTTTCAAAACAAAAACAGTGCAGAATTCATCTTTGTGTCCTCCCCACCCCCTTAAAAACCAAAACAGTTTTGAATCCATCAACTTTTATTTTAAGAACATTAGTATGACTGGACAGTGATGGTGCACGCCTTTAATCCCAGCACTCGGGAGGCAGAGGTAGGTGGATCTCTGTGAGTTCCAGACCAGCCTGGTCTACAGAGTGAGTTCCAGGACAGGCTCCAAAGCCACAGAGAAACAGTATTTTGAAAAACCAAAAACAAAACAAAACAAAAATCACTAGTATGTCTTTTGTGTCAAAAAGATCTAAGCTGTTTTGGAGCCCATACTGAAATAATACTACAGTGTGTGATTTCATCATATTCTGGGCACTCTATAGCATTACACTCTTCGGTACTCACAGGAGTCCTGTAGAAATTCTTGTTTATTCTAATGTCCAAAGAATTGAGTGACCTTTCTGGGACAGATGTGTGGTTAGGAAGCAACACAAGGAGGGGTGTACACAGGTCAGTTTTCAGAATCTTTCCCATGATTCTCTCCAGTCCTGTGAACTTCTAACCCTTAACTTAGGGATGACTTCGATCTGTTTAATGCTTGAGGTATACAAGTTTGCATGTGTTGTAAAACCCCCATCCCTACCACATTTTTCAACAGATCATCTACATTAATTTCTGATGCATTGTTGCACATCTTACTACATTTAAAAATCACATGCTTTTCATTATAAGGAACCAATATTTCAATGTAGATATCAGAAAAATATTGTAAAATTTGAAGTAAAGTTTAAAAAAATAATAGATGAATGCAAGCAGAACCAACATTAAGCCCTAAGTGTATGGCCTGGTCCAGGAATGTCCTTGCCTCTGCTGCTCCTGGGGTCTTGTTCTCCCACCAGTGAGTAGAGAGTGTCCTCTGCAATGGCTTGTAGGCGTGTTTCCTAAACACTGTGACTACAGAAGTACCTCTTTGCTGAGCTAACAGGAACTGAGCTCTTTGTTCAGCTTAAAGGAGCTGAGCCCACTTCCAAATAGTAAGAGAAGAAAGGGAATTGAAACCTGGAACTGAATTCATTACGCTGCCCAGGGGCAGGCTTCAGTTTAGCATCATGCTTTTCCAAGTTCATCTCAGGGGCTTGCCTTGACTATCAATCAGCTTCGCATCCTAAGCCACCTGGGCACTGGGAAGAACTCATAGCACGTGAAGCTCTATTTATTGTTCACCAGCCCAGAAGGGCACACATCGAGATAAGACAGTGAAAGCATTTGTTATTGCATTTTGATTACCATTGCACAAAAACTTAAAGGCAACAAACAAAAAACACAATTCATTGGAAAATTAGGAAAATTCTTGAAAATTTGTTTTATTTTCTGCTTGTTCCTGCCATCAGCCATGTTCTTCAACACACTTCCCATTTCTCCACCCCCAGACCAGCATGAGGTCCCAACAACATATGTGCCTGCATTCTGACACTAGGTAGAGACGTAAACCAAAGAAAATCAGGTTGAGTGCTGAGGGGAAGATTTGGAAGTCACATTATACCAACTAAGCTTAACACTGCGGCCCCCATGTAGCCTTCTCATTAACTTTTCTTTCATCAAGCCACTTTTTGAAAAACACTAACAGTTACAACAGTGCCTCCTCATGTATTATTTCAAGTGTTCTGCTTTGTCAATAAGATGGAAAGAAAGAAAGAAAAAATCGTTTTTCCCCTGCTGATTCTTGTTCACATTTTGGACCATATTGTCACAGCAGATGCATTCCATTTTCTATACTGCAGTTGGGAAAGATGCTTTCTCAAACTGTGTGCCTATCAAAAATATGCCAATTTTATGTATTCTGTCTTGATGAGTTACTAAAATTATATTTCACTAGAATCAGAAAGTCAGTATTTTCAGAAAAACTGGGGACCGCGTATGTTGCAATTTTTAGTATCTAAGTGAAAGCATGTAGTGTTTATAATTGTTAAACCTTTATTGCTGCTCATTTTTAAAGGAATTTTATGGCAATTGCTTTCACAGGAAGAAAACAGGAAAGGAGAGGTGGGTAAGCTACTCGGTGTAGGGAGGAATGACTTTAAACATAGCAAGAGCAGCCTCTGTGCCTTTAGATGAAACTCCATGCACAACAACATGAAGGAGAACATTTTCAAGTCTATACATAAAGTGCATCTGGCTTTTTAATAGCTTATACTGAAATATTATTTGGGTTAATGTTTTGTCGGGTATTTTAAATATTGCTTCAAAGAATATAGTTTAATCTTGGGGAAGGAACAGTTTAAAAATGAAAATTCCTAATGTAAATGACCAACTCCACTAACAAATCTAACAATGTCAAAATCAATCTCCTAAAAGCAATTTTGTTAACTTAATTTTATAAGAAATTTAAGGTGGGATGTGGGTCTGGTTTCAGAAACTGTATCTTTCAAAGTCAGAGTAAGAGAGGCTGAGTTTGCTGAAGCCCTGAATCTGGAGTTTGCAGTGTGGCCCGTTCTTCAATTACAAGGACCAGAAGTTTATTCCAAAGGGAAAAAAGGATGCAGTAAGAGAGGATCTTGGAGTGTAATGTTTCCCTCTAGCCCTATTTAGCTAACGTGTACATCTGGCAAATTGCTGGGCCTGGAAACCTACAAAGGAAAGTATCAATATTTAGACACAAAAGACTGGCCTGATATGCAATGGCTGCAGCTGTGGTCGTTAGTGATATTGAGTAAACTGAGGTTTGTGAGTTGCAATAAGTGAGTGGTAGAAAATAAATGAATAGGAGCTTTGCCAGTTGTTCACATTTAGTGTGATATGGAAAGTGTTTTACTTGTAATGGTGAAAAAATAGTCTAGATAACTAAAGTGGTACTGATAATACCACAATTTTAGTAGTAACAAAATTATGCATGACTTTTAGCAAGTGTGTCGTCATTGTCACGGAAATGTAAATGAGTGCTTGGAGGAAAAAAACGGAATTATCATATGAATTTTAAAAATAAGATACACCCCTCCCTTTCTTTTGGAAAAGAATGAAAATAGCAGGTGATCATGCACATGAAAGTTCCCACTGTCTTTACCACTCCGAGGGAACACGTAGTGTGGCTTCTTTACGCACTGTGATGAGAGATTTACAAACCCTAGGTTCCAATGTATTGAAATGTGAGCCACAACACTCCTTATGGTTGTATAATTGAACCAAGGTCATGGAAATTCTGGCAAGGGTAAATGAATTAAAAATGAAATGCATTGTGGTTCTGAGGTGTTCCTGGTAGCTATTGCCCATGCGGCATTGCAGGACCACTGAGCCTTGCTTCTGAGCGTGTTGTCTAAGTACTCGGTCAGAACGCACCTTCATACTACCCAGCACTAGTCCAGAGCACCCGAAGCACCTCAGCTCAGACTCCAGATAAGCTTTAGAGAAGCAAAACCCTACAGGTTTGCAATCAGGAAACTCGTTTTGGCTTTTTAGCTGGCTGC